ATGGGTTTTCGGGCGCGGCCAGCTGGCGGGGAGATATGCGGCCGCGCGCCTCCGCCACTGCGCTGTTTTGTTGTTGGCGGGCGGGGGCGCGCGTGCCGCCGAGGCGCCGACGGGCCCGCCAGGAACTCCAGGCGGGCACGCGGGCGCCCCCAGAGTCTCCCCCCCGCCCCCCCGCGCGCCCCGAAGCGGCGTCAAAACAGGAAGGCGGCATGCCGAGCGCATCGGCCTGCTATTTGAACTTCCCCCCGATGGCCAATCATTGCCCAGTCGATAGCCCAACCGATATCACCAGATCTCTCGGCCGAGACACCCGACACCCCCATCCGATCTCCAAGCGCCCCCCCCCCCCCCCCCCCTCCGACATCCGACGAGCCCCGAACTTGTCGTCAGATTGCCCCGATCGGATACAACGGAAGCGAACCAACAGCCGCGGGAAAACCAACGCATCCACCATCATATGCGCCTTCCGATTTTGCGCACGAGGAGCCAGCCGATGCTCGGGCGTCCATCGGGCCACCAGGCGATATCCGACACGTGCGAACCTACGCCGAGAAAGCTCAAAGTTCCTACCTACAGCCCCACAGCGGTATCCCACGGGCCTCGAGCCGATATCCCAGATGGCACCGTGTGGCATCTTTTTTTTTTTGGGGGGTGGGGGGGGTGGGGGGGGGCACCTGAACGCGCGCGCGCCATCGCAGGACAGCTCGGGCCCCGCGGCCAGCCCAAATGGCGAGCGTGCATCGGGCGCGGCGCCGCCCGCATGCCGATGTGCAGCCAGTCTGGGCACCGTCAGCGAAGTCGTCGTCGCCCCGAGTGCCGTCGCGGTGGCGGTGCTGCTCCTCGGCGTCGTCGCCATCGGCTGCGCCATGGGTTGCGCCTTGAACCGCCGAAGATGCAACTGCTTCAGACTTGTTTCGCCATGATTTACACCCTCGGCCGACGAGGCTTAAACGCCCCCGACCCCAGTGGTTGCTCCACATGTTTGCGCCATCGGCCGCCGAGGCTTAAACGTCCTCTTGTTGATTGGGCCGCGGGTTGCGCCCTCGGCCGCCGAGAATCAAACGTCCTCCGAGTGATTGCGCCATATGTTGCGCCCTCGGCCGCCGAGAACAAAACGCCCATCGAGCGGTTGCGCCATGCGCTGCGCCATCGGCAGCCGAGAATCAAACGCCCTCTTGGTTGCGCCATGGGTTGCGCTTTCGGCCGCGGGAGATGAAGCGCAGGGGTTGGGCCATCGGCCGCGCTTTCGGCCGCCGAGGAGAATGGCGCCCCCATTGGTTGCGCCGTCGGTTGCGCCCGCGGCCGCCGAGAAAACCAACGCCCTCGTGTTGGTTGCGCCCTTGGCCGCCGATATGAAACGCCCCCCCCCCCCCACCCACCCTTCACACACCACCCCATTGGTTGCGCCCAAGGTTGCGCGCGCGGAAGCCGAGAATACCATGTCCTCCTATTTGTTGCACCATAGGTTGTGCCTTCGACAGCAGAGGACAACGCCCTCCCACGTGGTTGCGACATAGGTTGCGTCCTCGGCCGCCAAGAATTAAACGTCCTCCTAAGGTTGTGCCATAGGTTGTGCCCTCGGCCGCCGAGAGTTCAACGCCCCCCTTGGGTTGCGCCATAGGTTGCGCCCTCGGCCGCGGATACTTAAACGTCATCCGATTGGCTGCGCCATAGGTTGCGCCCTCGGCCGCGGATACCTCAACGTCCTCCGATTGGTTGCGCCCTCGGTCGCCGAAAGTGAAACGCACCCCCCTTATTGGGTGCGCCATAATTGGCGTTCTCGGCCGCCGAGAATAAAACGCCCCCTAACCGATGCGACCCGTCAGTTCAGTCAGTTCGGTTGGGCCAGTGCAGTCCGTTTACTTGGCGAGAAACAAATTCCGGCTACGCCCATACTTACAAGCATGCCCAGGCAGATGCCCCAATGGTTGGAAACTTGTGTCCCAATGGGCCGCCAACCGATAGCCAACCCACAGGAAAACACGCCAACGCCATCAACTGCGCCCAATGGGGGCCCACGCCGATGTCCGACGTGTCCCAGGCTGACATCGCGCAAAATACGGCCCGTGCCCAAGCCGATACGCATACAAGGCCGAGTTAACTAATGTGCGCGATTGTCCTAACTCAAAGTAACTTACGACGGAACTATCGGAATCATTTTTGCGATGGGTCCAATCACCTCAACTTAATGCATGGTCGGGTTATCGGGGGCCGAATGGCTCACTTCCGACTGAACACGGAGGGGCCCGAACGACTCACCCCCCACCTAACACTGAGGGGGCCGGACGACTCGCGCCCGACCAGGCACGGAGGGGGCTGAACGCGCAATGTTCCTTTAGCAGCCCGCTTGCCCACCCCCCCCGTTCAGGTCCGCAATTGTGGGGGCGCGTAAATGTCATGCAACGCGCAAGATGTTTGGGGCCCCATTCAACTGGAACTGTCTGGGACCGAACTGAACTAAAACTAAACGGGTGCATTTGAGGTTCAGTTAACATGAGTGGGCATTCCGTGGCCTCAGCGGCTCTCGATGTTCGTTGTTTTTTTTTTAGCGAACCTGCCCATTGCCTTGCGCAAGGCGCAGGACGGCAATAGTGTGCCGTCACACAGCGGACCGCTGCAGCGTCGCAGCCTCATGATTTCTCGTATCTAGCGGGGTGGGGCGGGGTGGAGTGGACCCGTCACCCCGCGCCGCACACTGGGGACATTAGGCTAGGATGGATAGTCATGGGGGGGAACGGGTGGATCCATTCATCGTCGGTGCAGTGCGTGGCCACCAGAGCAGGTTGCAATGCGAGCGCGGCTTCGCCGCTCGACTTCGGTTCTTTGAGGCAACGCGTCCAGGCGGCGCTCAAGGCCAGCGCGGCGACTCTGGCTTCGCTGGCAGGGCCGACCCTCATGGTCGCGGCCCGCCTCAGCAGTCGGTCTGCCACGACTGCGCCCGCCGTTTCCAGCGAGAGGGCGCAGCTCAGCAGAGGCGGGTTACCCGCGACTGCTGGGCGAGGCGCCTCCATCAGTCAGCGCATCGTTTGGATGCGCGGGGGAACGGACCAATGCCTTGCGTTTTCTCGGTCCGAGCCCTGTGGGCGCCGCAGCAGGCGACGCCCCGCCTCGGGGCGGCGGCGCGCCAGACGAGCGCGGAGACGGCGCCGCCTGATTGCTGGCGGGCCTTTCTTTTTCTTTTCTTGTTTTTTTTATTTTTTTTTCTATTTTCTTTTTTTCTCTCTTTCTCTGTATCTGTTTTTTTTCTTTTTTTTTTTTGATTTTTTTTTATTTTTTTTTTTTGGTTTTGTTTTCTCTGGTCTTGAAAAGAACAAACACCGGTGTGCCCTAACAGCAATAGCAAAGCAACCACAGCATAGCAGCACTACAAATCACAAGAACAATGCAATAACAATAACAATAACCAGAACGAGTCAGGGGATTAGTTAAGAACAAGACCGCTAGTAACAACAATACTCACAACAATGTCTGTGCAGACTCTCTCCTGTGCCCCCTCCTCTCTGACCCCCGCCATGGGGCCCCTCGTGCGCCCCAGCATCTGTTGCGATTCATGTTTGCAGCGTCGTTGCCCCACGTGGGTCGGGTAGCTGGGGGTTTCGATTCGACGGTGCGTCCCAGAGATACGCACCTGCAATCTGAGAGTGTTGCCAGGGGGCAGTACTACCTTACGAGTTATCGTCATGGCCCCGTGGGCTGGGCTTGGGCGCGGTGGACCGATCGCGGTAGCGACGAGGCCGCTTGTCTTTGAGGCCTCGCGGGGCCGTCTTAGGGCAGAGGGAGCGAGAGGGGGGGGTGCGAGGAGGGGGAGGCGCAGGACGGGGGGGGGACTGGCAAGGGCATGTGGAGGAGAGGGGAGGGATGAAGAGCTTCGCAGACGCTCCCATGGGGGCTCTCCTAGCGTCGATCCCTGCACCAGCGCGCCAGCTGCAAGCACTGTATGGGAATGTGGCGGCCTGCGTGCGGGCATGCGTGCAGCCATATGCCATATGTGGAGGCATTGCTCGGTCGGGAAACCATGCCTCAGTGCAAGCGCTGTTTGCGGTGAGCCAGGGCGCGGGGGCAGGCTAAGTGCAAGTTGCAAGCGTCGTTCGGAGGCCAACATGCATGCATGCGTGCAGGCACTGTTCGGGGAATAGCGCGTTCCCCACCCCCCACCCTGGCCGACTGGTAGCAGCGGGGCGGGGGTAGCGCAGGCGCGAGCGATGAGGGCAATCGCGGCAGAAATGTGTGGCCGTCTTCGCCCCGCCCCCTCACTATGCAACATCAATCTCCCCCCTCCGCCTCCGCGTGGCCTGCGCCTCGGCGGATGCCGGATCGCGCCCCCCGCGGGCCCGTTCCCCGAAGGGGTCAGCCCTGCCCCGAGGCCCCGACGTCGGAGGGGCAGAGCGCGCCTCCCCTTTCTATCTGATCTCGGGCCCAGCCCCGACCTCGCCGTTGCCATTTAGGCTCAATTCGCCGAGGCTGGCAGGGCGTGGCGGCCCATCTGTTGCGAGGTGCGTTTGCGCCATCCGACTTTCAGACATCGGGCTTTCGGGCTCGCGAGCAGGCGCCATGCAGGCGGCCATGGACAAGAACGAGTACAACAGGGTGATGGTTGCCGTGTCCGACAGCAACGACTTCGACATGGCGAGCTCCCCTCGGGGCGCTGTGGGCCCCGTCGCCGCGGGCTCCTCGCAGGCTGAGCTCGGCGGCCACGGCGGAGCCGCGGACCCGCCGCCCGTCGACTCCCAGGGCCCGCCAGGCTCGGCGGATGGCCCCGCGCCCGCGGCCCCGCCGCTGCAGCCCAGGGCGAAGGCCGCGCCGCGCAACTACGGCAAGCTCTTGGCGCAGGAGCTGGCCCAGAAGCTCGGCGTGCACAACTCAGTGGCGGCGGGGATGATCGACGAGCTGCCGAGTGCCGTGGCGAGGGTCCTGCAGGCCAGCCACGGCAAGGTCATCCTCCCGAACTTCCTCACCATCAACATGGTGGAGCAGTCAATTGGCGCCACCAGCAAGGACGAGGCGAAGGTCCTCAAGTCCAGCGCCAAGGCGATGAAGGTGCACAGTGACAACGTCCGCCTGGTGAAGCCCGAGGTCACTTTCAAGGCCCAGTGGGTGAGGGAGGTTCTGAAGACGAAGGACGTGACGCCGACGGTGATCACCCTCCCGAACGGCGTGCTCCGCCCTGACATGGACATAGCGCCGTGCACGCCTGTGTCCAGGGCCTGGCTCGGACTCCCGCTGCAGAGCCCGTCGCTCCCTGCTTCCTCCGTGCTGAGCGATGCGGACGTGCCGAGTGGGCAGTCCTCGCCATCGATTATCTCCGCAGTCAGTTCCAGCTGAGTTTGGCCAGCTTGCAAGTCGCAGCTAAGCTAATAGGCCTTCGGGGGCGCCCAGCCAGCAACTCTCGCCATCGCGCACCACGTGCGATTTCCGAAGAGGCCTCTCCTCGCAGCCGCATCGCATCGGCTGTTTTAGTATATTCGGCGCGGGCTGCTGGCTTCTAGTTTTTCTTGGCCGCAGCTCAAGTGAATATCCGCTGCAGTTTGGCAGCTGGCCCGCCATGGATCGGCTGGCATCGGCTTGCACTCGGGGCTCGAACGTTCGAAAATCCAAACCTGTGTGGCTCCTCATCGTTTATTCCTTTAGCCACCCTCCAGGCCCTTCATACTTGGCCATACTTCCCTCCGCGCCAACATGTCTATCACTCTTTCCACTCCGCCTCCTATTTCGATGCTGTGCTAGCCGCAATTCGGGGACGCTCGGCGCACCTCCAGCCCCCTCATCCTTCTTCATGGGCACAGAATTCAGACACTGCACACACACACACGCACACACGCGCACACGCTAACACGCGCACGCACACGCTCGCACGCACACACATGCCTGGATCGGGGAAGTGGATGGGGACTGGGGATCTCTTGGGGCCATCTTGGGACCCTCTTGGGGCCATCTTGGGGCCATATTGGGGATCTCTTGGGGATCTCTTGGGGTCATCTTGGGCCGTCTTGGGGCCCTCTCGGGCCATCTTGGGACCCTCTTGGATTGGTGGCCTCATGGGCCGTCATGGTACCATCTTGGGGGTCATGTGGGCCGTCTTGGGTTGAGGCTTCCGTCAAAACCATATTGCTGTTGACGAGTCGCTTAAACCTAAGACTTCGACTCGTCGGCCCCAGGAGGCCATCAGCGATAGTATGTGCAATTGTTGTGCCGCCGTTTTGCATCAGCATTGCGGCAAGTGGCCGTGCTGTCTTGAGATGCCATTGCCCACGGTCAGTTTACGAACCTGCGCTTTTTGCTTTCTCCTCAGTCTGTGTCTCGCCATGTCATCGAGGCGGGGCGCCAAGCCGCCGCGCTTGACACCTGGGGCGCTGGCTGCGCACGCGGCAGCACACACCCCCGCCCAGAAGACGATTACGAAGGTGTCGACTGCGCCGTCTGCCTCCAAGGCAGTCAGCCTGGCAGGCGCGTCCACCGCGGCAGGAGATGGGGCCACCAGGAGGCGAGGTCCCAATAAGAAGGTCAGTTGCTCCAGGAACGCGTGCAAGGAGGTGATGCTCAGTGGCAAGGCTGCCTGCGCCGAGTGCCATGCCACCTTTGCGTGGGGCAACTTCGACGGCGAGGGGACGCTCGAGGAGGTCATTCAGAAATGCAACACAGAGCCGTCCAGCGATCAGCTGTTCAGTAAGGTCAACACCATCAGGATCCAGAAGCACCTCGGTGAGAAGACGATGGAGACTGAGCAGGTAGTTGGACAGGAATCGCACAAGCTCAGAATCTTCGAGATTGGGTGGCCACCTGAAGTGACCATCGAATCGAGTCGGGGATAAGAGCTTTTTTTATTTTTTTTGTCTTTTTTTTTTTTTGTTTCTTTTTTTTGTTTTTTTTTTATTTTTTTTATTCTTTTTTTTTTTTTTGATTTTTTTTTTCTTTTTTTTTTTTTTTTTTTTTTTTTATTTTTATGTTTTTCTTTTTTTTTCTTTATTGTTTTTTAAGGAGCTGAAGCTGACGCAGACGCTGCTGCCTTCTGCTGACCTGCGGGCCGCGCACCCAGGGGCACTGACCAAGGTCAAGGGCGTCAGATACGAGCTGGTGAAAGAGCACATCGTCTCGAAAGACACGTTCAATATGCTCCACTCGAGCCAGATGTACAAGCAACAGGGCGCCAACGCTTTCAAGAGGGCCAAGCGGCAGTGGACTTCTGCGTTCGTCAGGAGGCTGCGGAACACGACCATCGCCAAGCTCGACTTGGGGGGTGATGACGTTCCGCCAGACGACGGCGACGGTGGCCCTGCAGACGATGATTTGGACGCAGAAGGTGAGGAGGGAGAAGAGGAGGATGACCCAGATGCGGCTGGCCCTTGCATTGATGAGGCTGCGGGCAATCCTGCGCCCACGCTTGCAGCACCGTCTGCCGCGGGCGCTGCTGCTTCCTCGGCGCCGCGGTATCCGCAGCCATCCCCGCCCAGGTCCATCAAGGCTGCCTCCGCCGTCGGGGCGTCGGTTCGGAGCCCTGCTCCGAAGAGGTCGCCTTCTGGCGGCATGTCTGTCCTGCAACGCGTGCCGCAGGACGGCAAGTACGAGTACTACGGGGTCACGTGGGACACGAACGATGCCGAGGAGAAGGCAGCGCTCGAGAAGCTGGTGAAGTGCGACCCCATCGAGGCCTTGATGGACCAGTGCACGAAGGTCAGCGAGAGGTGGGCCAGGGAGTTGCACAAAAAACGGGCTGACGCTGACCCCAGCGACTCGATTGCCACTCACATCCAGAAGCACCTCGCGTTGATGGCGCGGTGCAGGGCCGTCTCCCTCAACAGCCTCCCGTGCTACGGCAATCGGGAGGAGCGCATCCAGGACATCGAGGCAGTGGTCAAGGCGAAGGTCGAGTTCCCGATCGAGTGGCAGGTCGCAGTTGCTTTTCGCGCGCTGGAAGACATCACCCAGTCGAGCTCCATGTTGGCACATATCAAGGAAGCCATGGTCATCGCGTCGTTCGTTCCAGCCGATTTCTCCGCCACGTTTGAGTTCGACCCCCTGCAGCCCGAGATGCATGCGATCGTCGGTTCACCCGATGAGGTTGTGTCTCGCTGGCGGGGCGCGTTCAGCAGGATCCTGAAGGCGTTGGTCAGGCTTGCAGAGGGGAAGCCGAACTCACAGGCAGTCGCCGCGGCCATCCAGCTAGAGGGTATTCTCACCGACCTCGACGTCGACTCTGACCCCTCGTACCACAGCTGCCTCCAGGAGTCCCTCAAGCCACTCAGGTGCCTCATCTGTGTCTTCGACTGTTCGCACTTAGAGTTTTACGACGACGTGGCCGACACGCTGAGGGCTGCGAAGGCGGGTGGCCTCGCGGTCAACGATACGAGGCGCGCCGTGATCGACGCTATGGATAAGCTCCCCGCCTACACCGCCAAGCTCGAAGAGATCAAGAAGAGTTCCAGGGCGGCCCAGCAGCACTCCGAGCGCATTATGACGATGTGTGAGGCCATTGTAGACGAGACAAAGACCCACCCGCCGCAGCAGCTTCATAAGTGGCTGGACATGCTGATGAAGGCGAAGATCGAGATCGGCATCCCTGATGCGACGGCGCATGCCTTCAACACGTTCGGCACGGCCCTGGAACGGCACCTTTCCGAGGGCAGCGTGCGGCACATCCTTTCGGGCGACGTCGGATGCATCGCAGTCGCTGGGCAGCTCATGGAGTTCCTGCGGGCCGCGTGTCCGCACTTCCCTGGGCACAGTGGTGTCATTACGAAGGCGATGGAGCTAGGAAGTGCGTTCCTCGAGCAAGCCGGTAAGACTGCGATCGCCGACGCAGCTGCCGATGCACTCGGCAACTTGTTGAGGGCGTCCCAAGGCGAGGTGGAGTTCAAGCCGATCATCGACCAGACGGCTGCGGCCATCAACGACTTCGTCAACTCGCAGCTCACCATCAACGATGACCAGGCCTCGGACGCGGTGCGGGGCATCAAGTGTCTGAATGATGCGAGGTTGGCGCATTACCACATGTACTCGCCTGCGTTCATGGGGAACTTGAGCGCCCTCGCAGTCTCCCTGAAGAGCATGGTCCTCGATCAGGCGGAGTGCAGGGCCGCCGACGCTTTCGAGGACTTGTGGGCAAAGCTGTCGGCGGTGTCGGCGGCGAAGCAGTCGTGGATGCAGTTGGGGGGGGGGCCGTTGAGGCTCGGATCGCCGCGGACGTTGGCCTTGGAGCGATCTTGGACGTGCTGTCCGCGACCGTCGCCCTGGAGAAGGCTGTCAACGCAGTTGGCAGCAACAGCGTGGCTGACATCGGGAAGGTGGTTGAGGACACAAAGGGGATTGTCAACGAGGTGGCGGCGGTAACCTGCGACAGCAGCGACAGGGAGCTCCAGCTAGCGCTGGCCTCGAGCAAGCTGGAGAACATCGGCCAAGGTGTGGGCGACGGCACCGACTGGGCGAGGGACCTCTCCGACAAGACAATCGAGGAGGTGAAGGCCGTCGGGAAGACCGACTTCCTCGCGGAGTTCAAAGCGTTGGAGCTGGAGGCGGCCATCGGCACGGTGGAGGGCGCCCTCACCAGTGCCAAGGCCCTCTGCGAGAAGTTCGGGCGGGAGCCGAACGCTGACTTGGTGTCGAGAGCCAACAGAGCGCTGCTCATCGGGAAGAAGACCCGCTGGGAGGGCTCGATCCTGCTCGAGCTCGTGGCGATGGACGCCCAGAGCAACGATTCGGCAGAGCGCGGCACGACTGTTGCGAACATCAGGAAGTTCAAGCGCCTCGCCGAGAAAGATGGAGTATTCAAAAACATGTTGCCGCAGATAGTTGAGGCCGCGAGCTCCGCTGAGAGCAGCAAGAAGAGGAAATCGCGCTGAGGTCAGGGCCGACCAGCAGAGCACAGACAACAGCACTCGGCCTCGCACGCCGTACGCCGCAGGCGGCAGAGCGCAGCAAAAGTCGTGACGCTTCGCGTAGCCCTACCAGCCCATCCAGAACCGATTGCCAGGTGAGTTGGTTAGCCAAGGGTTCCTGGAAGGACGCAGTCGCACAGCCGTTTTGGAGGCGTGCTGGAGGGGTGCAGAAGAGCTGGAACATAAGGCTGGTGACATACTACGTGTTGCCTATGCCACGGCAGTGCCGCTGGTCACAATAGTGAAGTGGGGGAGCTCTAGAAGCGCAGACGGGCGGTGCTTCTGCTGGTGATGGGGTTGGTGTTTTGTTATCTTATTTGTATAGTACAGTGCGGTGTGATTTGTTGCTGGTGCTTGTGGTGTTTGTTCTACTTTTGGGATTCGCTGGGGCTGTTGTGGGTTATGCTTAGGCTGCTGGTGGTGTGTGTCAATGTGGGGATGTTTTCTTGTTGCTGCCTGCCCGTTTCGCATCGTGGGGCACCCTTGACATCGGGTGGATAAAACGTCGGGACGATGAAGTCATGAGGGGTTTTACCTCGCGGCGACACGGATCAGTTCGAACTTTATCGAGGTGGACCAACGGAATCGCCCTGAACTTTACACCGAGGTGATCGGATCGGTCAAAGCCGTGCCCCTCGAGGCTGGCCACCACGGATCGGTCCGAAGCGATTACCCTGAAATGGACTTCGATCGGTCCGTGCATTAAAGCTCGGGGGGATCGTTGTCACTCGAGGGGTAAAGTTCGGGATCGATCCGCGATCACCTCGAGGGGTAAAACTCGGGACCACTCCGTGGTCACCTCGAGGGGTAAAGCTCGGGACCGATGCGGCTGGTGCTGCTGCTGCTGCTGCTGCTGCTGGTGCGACTGACGGTGTGCGTGTGCTGCTGGCGATGCTGGTGCTGCTGCTGGTGTTATGGCTGGTGGTGGTGGTGCTGGAGCTGATGCTGCTGGTGCTGCTGGTGCTGCTGCTCTGGCTGGTACTGTTTATTATCGTGCTGCTGGTGCTGCTGCTGGTGCTGCTGGTGCTGCTGCTGGTGTTGGTGCTGGTGGTTGTGGTGGTGCTGCGGCTGATGGTAGTTCTGCTGGTGCTGCTGCGGGTGCTGGCGGTGTTGGTGACCAGCAGGCTGCGTAACGACCGCCTAGGAAGCGTTTTTTCGGAGGTCTTTTGGGGCCACCTTGGGGCTCTCTGGGGGTTCTCTTGGGGCCCTCTTGGGGCCATCTTGGGGCTCTGTTGGGGTGGTCTTGGGGCCCTCTTGTGGCTCTGTCTGGGCGTCTGGCCCCCCCTCGTCGGGCCATCTTGGGGGCCACGGCTGAAACAAAAAGAATGTTGCGTTAATTCGGATCGCCCCCCTTGGGAACTCACCGCAACGCCTTGGGGCCCTCTGGTGCCACTTTTCTTAGGACGGTCGTGGGCGCTCTTGGGCCGTCATGGGGCAACCTTGGGCCTCCCTCGGGGCCCTCTGGGGCAAGATTGCTGCCGTCTTGACGCCCCGAGAGCCCATCGGAAACGAGGGAGCGAGAAAACAATCAACATTGAGTTTCCGTAGGTTTCGGAACCCGTTTGGCATTTTTTGTGGGGTCCTTGAATGGCCCGAGCGACTGGAATTCCCCTCGGGGTCGTATCGAAGCTTCTTGGATGCGGGTCGGAAGCCACCTTGAGCCAGCTTGAGTTATCGTGGCCATCTTGGGTGCCATCTTGGGTTTCTAGGGCTCTCTGGGAGCCATCTTGGGCCATCTTGGGCGCTCTGATGGGTCGATCCCCCCCCCCCCCCTCCCAGGCCCATGGGAGGGGGCAGGGGGATTGGTGCACCCCTCCCCTGAGCAGGGGAAGGAGGTGTTGGCAGAGAGAACGCGCAACTCGCTAAACCACCTACGCCCAAAGGGCTGGTGGGGTGATCCTGGCGAAGGGCCCGCCCAACCATGTGCAGTTGTGAATACTGTAGTTGCGCCTACCACCTGCGGCGGCGAAGCTCTTTGTGGGACCTCGACACGTTTGAGGGGCGTGCCGACATGGGCGGCGGTGCCACGCGACCTTCACATTGGGGCCTTAGGTGCCCCCCCCCCCCTGGTGCCACAAAACGTGCGAGGGGTGTGCCGACATGGCGCGGCTGTGCCATGAGAGCTTCTCCATTGGGGCCTCAGGCGGAGCTCCCTATGAGGCCACGAAGCGTGTAAGGGGTGTGCCGAAATGGGGCGGCGGCGCATGCGAATTTTCTATTGGGACATTCGGTGGGGTTCACCACGGTGCCACGAAACCTATGAGGGTTGTGCCAAAATGGGCGCTGGTGCCACGCGATCTTTCCCACTGAGGCCTTAAGCGGGGCTCCCATGGGGCCACGAAGCGTGCGAGGGGAGTGCCGAAATAGCGCGGCGGTGCCATGCGAACTTCCCCACTGATGCCTTCGGCGGGGTTCCCTATGGGGCAGCGCAACGTGTGAGGGGTATGCCGAAATGGGGCGGCGGTGCCATGCGAACTTCCCCACTGAAGCCTTAGGCGACGCTCCCCATGGGGCCGCGAAGCGTGCGCGGGGAGTGCCGTAATTGATGGCGGTGTCATGCGAATTTTCCCGCTGAGGCCTTCGGTGGAGCTCCCCATGGGGCCACGAAGCGTCGGAGGTGTGCGCCGAACTTGAGCGGCAATGCCATCCAAACTTTTCATTTGGGCCTTTGGCGGGGCTCCCTATGGGGCCGCGGAACGTGTGAGGTGTGCGCCGAAATTGGGTGGCGGTGCCATGCGAACTTTCCCACTGATGCCTTAGGTGGAGCTCTCAATGGGGTCGCGAAACGCGTGGGGTGCGAGCCGAAATGAGGCGGCGGCGCCACGCAAACTTCCCCACTGAAGCCGAAGGTCGGGTTCCCAAGGGGCCGCGGAACGTGTGCGGGGTGTGCCGAAGTGGGGCGGCGGTGCCATGTTAGCTTTCCCACTGGGGCCTTAAGCTGAGCTCACCATGGGGCCGCGAAACGTCTGAGTGGTGCGCCGAAACAGATACATGCGGAGGGCAGGGGCGGGGATGGGAGGAGCGAGGGAGGGGGGAGGGGGAGGAGGAGGGCGAAGTGAGCGCGGAACGCGGGGCGCTGTCTCTGCAAAACGAGGACCCAACACCGCGAGATGGTTGAGAATGAAGGGCACCTTGCGCCGCCGCTTCCGTGGCTGCATTTTCCAACCCCGCTCCCCCATCCCCCCTCGCCCTTTCTCTCTTCGCCCTCCCCCTCTATCCTGCGTCCAATCCCCCTCCTTCTCCCTCCCTCCCCCAATCCCCCCCGCGCATCATGCCCCAATCCCTCAGCCACCCCCTCCTGGAAGGAAGGGGTGGGGCTGAGGAAAAACAGGGTGGATGGGGGAAGGGGGGGGAGAGCGAGGGATGAGGAAGGGGGGGATGAGGAGGCATCTATGGCGACGTGCAGGCCAGGCGGCCAGGCGGCGGCGGCAGCCAGGCGGCGGCCGAGCCGCGGGGCCCTCCCCGTTCCTTCCCTCTCCCCCGCGCCCTTCCTTCCACCCCGCCCACCCTTCATTTTCAAGCAATGTCCTTTCTACTTCCCTCCCTCTGTCTCTGCTGCGTCTCCTCTTCTTCCCCCCCCTTCCGCTTCCCTTTCACTTCCCCTCTTCCGTTTTCCGCCCCCCGTGTCTCCTCCCACTTTCTCTTCTTGTGCCCCCTGTCCTCGGTCTCCTCCTCTTGCCCCCTGCCGCCC